GTACAGGCATGAGCGTCTGAACGGCGTATTAAACTAAATTTGGGCTGTCCCGGGGGACAACCCCTTAATTTCGGGAAGTCGGCCCGCTAAACGTACATCGCTGCTTTTTGCCATCTGCTTTCGACTTGTCTCTCTCCCTCTCCTCTCTTATCCTACATTTTCAAGCCGCACACTGGATATGCCGCGTAAGAGGCCAGCTCCGTCCGAGCAGGGCAATGGTACCATTCGGAAAAAGATTAGGCCCGTCGGCGACGGCTTACCAGAAACCAAATCGATCGGAGAACGAGCCGAGCCTTTCCGCTTAATGACTGTGAGGTTTCCCATCGACAGTACGACTCCCAAATGGAGCACGGGACGAAATCGCGATATCGACGAGAAGCACGTCAAGCAGCTGTGTCAGCTGTTCGAGGATTATGGACTGGAACGGCTAGATCGTGCACATCGACTCTGCCTGCTTTGCACTGCAAGGGATGTGCGACTCAATTGTGAACGTCTAGGCATGGATTGCATACCCAATGACCGCAGCGCCTCTCTGCCGGATTTTAAGAGCTGGGACGAAACAAGCACAAGCCCAGCCGAAGTGCTAGCAGGAAATCATCGTATTGCAGCTTTGAAGGCATATTTGAAGAGGCAGAAACTTGCTAGCGACGATGGTGAGCGATGGTGGATTTGTGATATTTACGACAGAGGTATGTCGTCGACGTGGAATGCAGACCATTATGGCCTAACCAGTAGTAGACACTCTACCGCTCGACCTACAGATCGAGCTTCGTGCAAATCGAAGTGGAACGGTCCTCCCTGACACTCACGGCCAGATCTGGACTGAGCTATGTACATATGCTAAGCAGGACAAGAGTAGGAAGATGTTCACTGGAGCGAGATGGGATATGGAAGCGCAGATGAGCCGGGCGCTGCGGCTTAATACCCGTGAGCAATTCCCGGTACGCCGTCTGGCGATCCTATGGAAGAATGACCGCTGGCGCACGTTCATCACTCGCATTTGCGACAGGAGAGTAGGAAAAGATCTGTTCAATATCAGCACCTTCCAGAAACTCGCAAGCTATCGCATCGACGACTACCTGTTCGAGCGGATCGAGTGTATCATACGACCGGTCGAAATAATCTGGAAGGAGTTTGGCATCGAGCTTGAGCTAGAACGGGACTATAATCGACTCTCTGGGCTGCATCGACGATGGAATTTGCAAGAATTGTTCTACCCTAAACACGACGACGGACTCGACATCGGAGAAGACAGTCCCCGGCATTCACAATTCCTGTCGCATGTCGATGACTTGAACTACCATGCACTCTACCACTACATGGTGCGAAACGAGTCCGAACTATCTTTTCCTAACGCGCAGGAATCACTAAGGTTGTTGAACTCCGGGGGTAAGACGATGCAGGCGGTCATGACACATGTAGTCATGTGGATCAACAACGATGTTGTGAGTATCAACGATCGTGAGAGAAATAAGCCACCGCTCGCCGGTGAACTGTTTTCTGCTTTGTCGGATATGCAGGGAACAACCGCGGAAAGAGATCCGGATGCAGCCAAGGCGAAGGCACTGGAGCTACAGCGAAGAGTACTCACGTTTGCTGAGGGAAACGCGGCACAGTTCACAAAAGAGGATCTCTCCTTAGTTCCTGAAGTTGGCGTGGAAGCGAGCGTGTATGAGAGAAGATTCCAGCTCGAGGCTTGGAGAGAAGTCCTCGCTCGAGCGCGGAAGATTGTGGGTCCACGCTTCCAAAATTCCTGCGTAACAAAATTCAATGCAGAAGCCGTTGAGCCACAGCTACAGGCGACGAGGCTCAGCCTTGTCAAAACCCTGCAAGACACAATCAACGGACATTTCGAGACCGTCGGTGATCCCGAGCTGCAGAGTGCCAAGGCAAAAGAAGCGCTGCGGATCATGATCGAGGAAACCATCAGTCAGTGGAAGCAAGAGTATGGCCAGAGCGAGGATAGGAGCGAAAGCCATGACAGAGGCATCCCATCCAATGTTGACCAGTCGGAGCTCGCTCGATTTCGAGACGCTTCTTTCTTTGGGACGTCTCCTGTTGGTGAAGACAATGGTCACACTTATGGGACAGAAACCTCGATGCGCCCCACCAGTACGGCGACCCAGCAGGTGCAAAGGGAAAGAACGGGGTTCGTCGGGCCGAGTGACTCAGAAGACGACCTGGAGCCCTCTGTAGCACCGGTAACGCACATGGTGCCGTCGAGTTTAAAGTTGGGAAGACGTGAGTCTACGAAGCCGATGCTATTGCCGAGGCATATCTCACCGAACACAGCGGGACAATTCTCGAGCGAAGACGATGACCAGGCTCAGCGTGAGAGGTCACCCTCTCGGCATCGTAGCGTGGCCAAGTTGGTCTCTGCACCTACTGTGCCTAGTGCGCAGCGGAAGGGCGCCACGTCCACGAGTGCAAGTAGAGCTGACTCCCGCAGAGTCCGTACTGTTGGGTCAGCACAGACGAACGGCCTTTCGTCCAAGCCTGTTAGTAAGGTTGGCGGATGGAGGAGCCGGCCGTTTGCTGGCGCCTAGGATTCGCGCTGCCCAATCGTGGCAGAGGTCGACAAGGGGTAAATGAGACAGCCAAATGTAGCTAGTCAGGAGTGATTAGGGTGTATCTTGAGCATGATATAGCAGAAAGGAAGACGATAAGGCTTAGGCCAAGAGTTTGATCGATCTTCGTCGGTCACCAGCAATTATACACCTCACAACGAACATGTCGCAGGAAGATGAGGGCCACTCTACACGTTCAGATCGGACTCCCGCGCGGTCAGAAGACGAATTCAGCAACGACGGCCCGAGTGATCGTGGTCTCGAGGCGAGCTCGGATGTTGAGGATGCCATCTACGGAGTCGTCGACCAGGACGCTACAGCTGGAGTCGAGAATGTCGCCGATTCGTTTCGCATTGATCACACACGTGGTGAGCACCGACTCCCAGTAAATGCCTTCCTCCGCCGTACCACTGCTTCCGACCTCAGTCCCACACAAGCCATCGACATGCTTCAACATAAATATACGTTGGATTTCGGCAGTCGATCATCCGGTTCTCGACATTGTACGCCAGATGATATCCTAATTCCCACTTTTCACCTCGATATGATCGCTATCGTCGGCCGACCCATGAAGCCCATTGTGCACTTCAGCGATCGATTCTTCGAGAACGTAACAATCAGCTTTCAGAATTGGGCAGCGCCATATCGGGCGAAGCACGTCGAAGGAGGGATTGGGTTCGATCTGAGACATCGCACTTTTCGCATAGCGTCTGGCTCGTCACGAGAGTCTTGGTTCATCGTGATGCATCCGGGACTCGCAATCACGGACATTGACCAGTCCCGGGCGGATATGGAGGCCTCCATCAGGAATAGTGCGTTGGAGGAAAGACATGCTCGATTCTTGGCAGACTATATCAAGCATGTATTTCTCAGCGAAGAGTTAGTCGGAGAGGGCGTCGAGGCGGCGTGGCGCTTGGGTCAGACACGAAGCGAAAACATCACCTTCAACAAGTGGACAACTTTTCAGTCAGAGTTCATGGCCGGCTGGAACGAATATGTGACGGCGCATACAGTCGATCCATTCTGGACGGAGAACAGACCGGCTTTCCATGCATACGACTATGGGGCCAACATCATGCTCGATGTGACCCAGCAGATAGAGGATCTCGACAAGGAAGAGCCCATGCAAGGCATCACAGATGACTACCTGAGTGATGGCGAAGCACGCAGCGAGGTCAACTCTCCCTCCCTGAGCCGAGAGACAGGTGTCGATGTCACCCTTGACGATGACGGGCTTCGAAACCTGAAGGTGGAGCTCGAGGCCAAGTTCGATCTCGAGAATGTCTGGTCCATATCGTACGCACTAGCGGTCGACCTTTACTGTCTGGATGGCGAAGCCGTCGATGTCGAGCCTATGGACCGAGCGGCCCGTTGTATGCTCGCCGATCGCAATGCCGTGTTGCAAGAGTTTCCCCGTCAGCGTGACTGGACCTTCTATCCCGTTGGATTCAGTCCGGTATACGGCAATTTTGCAGCCAGTCAGCCGCCAGAATTCTTGAAGCAGAACGTGCTCACTGTGATGCGGAATAATCTCAGCGTCCGCAATGAAGGTGTCGATGCACTCGCATGTGGATATTTTCAGGCATATTCCAACGTCAAACGCTCCGTTCGTCATCGGCCGGATGATCTTTTGGCGAAGAAAAGCCTCACGACTGCAGTGTTGTCTTTACCCGGCGCAGAAATGACCTCGCACCACGTCCGAACAAAGCACCGTAAGCTTCAGGCGCAGATGAAAGGCATGCGGACACCGGAGGACAGCAACCAGTCACGGCCTTTCGCCCGGGAGGCGCAGCGTGTGCAAGCCGCTATCGAAGGCGAAGATTACGGATATCGCATGGAACAGGTCGTGAGCATGCATGTGTCAAAACTCTGTACCGAGCGCCGGACGTTTGCGACTGTGCTTCATCCCATACTCCAGCTTATGCGGTTTTATCTGAAAGAGCCGCATCATTACCGCCGTATCCTCCATACTTTTGCCCCAGAAGTTTACCCTAATGTTTTGTGTGGATTTAGCTCATTGTTCGACAAGGCCATGGTTGGCTTACAGGAGAAAAGCGGCTTGCTCAAAGCAAATACCTGCAACATCGCAATTGCGGAGGCTGCCGCGGCGTTCGATCGCTTGGGAAGCTATTTATTTTCGGGAAGTGCAAAAGTGGTTGGCAACAACATCTTCCGACACCTTGGCACAACAGATTCGCTGCGCTATGGCGGATGGCCGTATGTCGACCCTGGCGTGCTGAACGTCCAAGAGGGTAGAGCATCGTTGAACAAAGGGCGATGGCCGCAACGCAAGGATGGACAGCCAGCGCTCTTGCACCCCGGTGTGGTGGAATTCTACTTCGGCAAGCACATTGGAGCTGCCCGTCAGAGCAACGCCTGGCTGCACGATTTTCGAGGCATGGAAGTTGCCGGCCGTCACAACGCGACCAGCCTTCTTGTAGACATATTTGGTCAAATGTGGATGTCGGAGACGATGGGGTTCGTGGCGCGGGCGGTGCGGAGACTCTCTAAGAGACAAATGCGCGCATCCGCCGGCTCACATGGAGACGAAGCGCTCCAACAGCTCGAATCCTGGATGCAAATGGAGCGTCCTTTCTCATGGTCGGCATACAGCCACATGGTGCCCCTCCTCTCGACTGGTGCGAGCGATGAGAATCCCTCGGTCATGTCGCGGCGGGACTTGGCGAAAGAGATCTACGATGCGGCCAGCGAGAACTCCGACAAGATGCGGCGGCGATGGGCAGGACAAGAGGCGTCATGGTTCTCCGTTCTCAGCAGCGTCATTGCCGGCACAGATCCCAAGATCGTCGGCAGGGAGCAGTGGATCGGCGCTATCTCGGCGGCAATGTTGGAATGTTCTATCGAGGCAATGCCTGGGCCATCGCGTGGGAAGCTAAGCAGTGCAATCACCATCAAGTTGATGGGAATGGCACCGTCGAAAGCAATGTTGGCTACCAGACCCGGCACGCTGAAACGTGCAGCCATCGAAGCCAACGAGAAGTCGAAGCGACCGCGACTACAGAATAGGATTGACTTCGGTTGCGACGTTCCCTTCACACGAGTTCCAAGACTCATAGACGAGGGGCTGAGGGCGCAAGACAGGCAATTCGAAGGAGGCGACCAGCGAGTCCGAGAACATTACTGCATGGTTCGACACTGTCTGGACGCTTGCCTCGGGGATCCTTTGTGCGATCTGATGCTGATGCTCGCTCTCACGCTAGCGTCGTGCTCGGTGACACCAGCGGTGAGCGACGACGAATTTGAAGCCGGCAAGAGAAAAGACCCCAAGGTATTTGTCGCGAATCTGATCACTCGCATGCTTTGGTTCCTGAAACCGCAGGAATTCCCGTGGACGACGGGTAACAGCGACGGCGTTCTGGCGATACCAGAAATGACGAGGAAAATCGGTGAGATGCACCTGCAGCGCAGTCATCGTCAACGCTGACAGTGGAACAGAGCACAAAGGAGCAAACAACCGGCTGCTCGTCAAGCTCGGGTGGGTCGAGTGCGTTCGAGGAAAGCGCACCAACCCTCGAAATTCGGATCTCGCGCTCGTGGATGAATCACGGCTAATGGAAACATACCATGCGCTATATCGTACACGAAAGGACGCAGCACAGTTTATTGCGAGGGTGTTTAGAAGCCGGGACGAGGCTTGGGTAGAAAGGTGTCAAAGTATTGTTCGGGAGGGAGAAGCACCTGAAAACTCTTGATTGTAAAGTATTTACTAGTTTTTACAATTAGTAGGGGTATTCTCTTAAAACTTTTTTCGTGATTCGTCCTATTTACTATAGCTATAATTATAATAAAGCTTAAAACGGTACCTTTTAAACGCGAATAGTCTTTTGTATAAAATCTTAAAGTCCTTTATTCGAAACTTATCTTAAGGTCTACCCCTAGATTTTTTTGTCCCTAACGCAAATTAGGGTTAGGGTTAGGGTTAGGGTTAGGGTTAGGGTTAGGGTTAGGGTTAGGGTTAGGGTTAGGGTTAGGGTTAGGGTTAGGGTTAGGGTTAGG